AAACATAAAAGTCAGCAGTTTATCTCCTGGTGTAAGAAGTCAAGAAAGGCACGGCACTACTAGCTAAATATGAATAACAAAGTCACAAAATGGTAACTGATGTCGAACCTTGTGACTTTTATTAAATTTAAACCTTGAAGCAAGAAATAACGAGTAATAAATAGCTAATATTAGCTTTTAATACTTCAAGTTTGGTTTTAAGAAGAACAAACTGAAAAAAAAAAAGAATTATCAGTAATATTCTGTCCGTTAAACACTTAACAATGGATATAACTACCACTAAAATTAGAAGGTACTTTCTCTGAATCATTACTTCAGTTTATTATGTAGAAAAATAATGCAAAATAGATTTGTAGCCAGTTAGATAAAGGCTGCAACTTTTTCTATTGTATATGAGGAGGAGAAAGTCAGCTTTTAAATATAAAAATATTTGGACAGTCATTTAAAAGAACATTTAGCGTGCAAATTTATCTTAGAATTCTAGTCTTTTTTTTTCTTTTTTAAACACTAATTGGAAAGCTAATAGCAGCCACTCATCATTTTTATACAGAAAGAAATTATAAAATGTTCTGTATTACAGTTATTTACTTGTGAACTACTCATTTTTATCAGTATTTCTAAATTCTCCTCAAATTTACATTTTTTTTTAAACTAAACTCATTGCCAGCCCAAACCTAATCATGACTCTCTCAAGTATACATCTGGGGTGTAAGCATGTTACCTATGAAAAGGAGCTCATTATATTACACAGGAGAGACGGCTTGACTTGAGCGCGACAATCATTTAAGGAGACCATTTTTATTCCTGTAGATAACCGGGCAGACTTAGATCCCAGAGGGCTTCGGCCCCACGCCCTCTGTGTTTTTTTTCTTATTTTGGGAGACGCCAGCCGCACGCAACTTCCGAAAAGATGCCTTAACGAACACATCAGTAAAGTGGCCTGTGACCTGCGCAACAATCACACACCGACTAATGCTAGTGAGACCTGTCCAAATCAGTTCCAGACAGGCTCAGGCAAGCCTTTAGAGAGTATTTTATACCTAGTAGATTTGTATAAATGTATATAAATGATGTGCACACATACTCCCCTTGCAGAACCAGTAAAAGTGTGTTAAAACAATTATCGGATTAGAAAAGAATGTTGTTATAATTGCCGACTTAGTAAAATCCATTAGATAAGAAAATATTTATAGCACTTAAATATAGCACATAGGCAATCATCTTCTCCCCAGTGCAGTGTTCAGAAGTCTCAATCTAATTCTCTCAGGCATATTACAGGGCATTATATATATATCAATCATACCATCGTTAATGTAGAAATTAGAGTTTTTCTCTTAGAGAAACAGCAGCTCTTTTGCACTCTTTCCCTACAATCGTGAAAGAAATATTCCCTTTTTCGGAGGGGGGGTGGGTTTCCCCAAGCTCCCTCCAGCGTCAGCAGTTGCAAAATGATCCTCAAGTCAAGCTCAAGCTCTTCGTCTTCACCCCGATTTGTTGCATAGATGAAAAAATTATTTTATTTTTTACAAAGTCTCCGTGTACGCTGTTCTGTCTTGTTTGTTTTTATTTACAAAAAAAAAAAAAGTGCTTTGCAGCCTTCAGCCATCAGTGACCCACTGAAGTGCATTGTCCCCAAGTGTGATTGTGTTCTGTGTGTGTGTGTGAGCCGGGAAAACTGTCAGTGTTCAGTAAAAATGGGAGACTGTACATAAAGGGAAACATCCTGATCATGTTGCAAGCTGTAGTCCAGTGGGGTTAAACTCTGCTTTCGCAGCTGAAGTGTGCATGCAATTGGACGTTGTGCGATTAACTGCTTCTGACATTACAGAACAAGAGAAGATGAGGGTGTTTTTGGTCAAAAAAACAACAAAAAAAAAATTCTTTAAAGATCCTGCCATTGGACAGGTGTTTGTACACTGTAAACTTTGTGGGGAGATCTTCTCTGAAGGTCTTGTTTGTAAATCTTCATTTCTGGGGGGAAAAAACAAGTCAATTCCATTTTAGGAAAAGAAATAATTAGTATTTTAGTTTTTATTTTATTTTATTTTAGATGCTGGATTTGAGTTAGAACTCTCCAGATTACCCCAAATAGCAAACTCTAAAAGTGTTTTCATCATGTTTGAATTCCTGTATGTAAAAAAAAAACAAAAAACAAAAAACAAAAAACAAAAAAAAGAATAAATGTGGTGGGTTGGAGAGGTGGGAGATCCGTAAGAATAAAGAACAACAATGAAGGTTTTTTTTTTTATTATTATTATTGCCGTTATTAATGTTATTATTTCTCATTATTCCTAGTGCTTAGATATTACGATTTTTTGCGGGAAAAAACTCCTTGAATATTTGAATTGTAAGTTCATTAGCGTGGCCATAGTAAGTGTGATGTGATGTTTCTCAGAAATAGTCATTTGTTTCTTTCCTCCATCCTGTCTTTTTATTTCTCAGTTTAGTTAACTTTGTTTTTTTTCTTCTCAATATTAATGTAAATTCTTGTTCAACAAGCTAGTGGTGTGAATATTCATTGTAGCAGCTGGAAGGTGATGCCACAGAAACCAGTAAAAAGCGAACCAAAAAAAAAAAAAAGAAGAAAATGCTAGCAGCTGGTCATTTCATCCCTTTTGCCATTTTGGTTGTTTTGAACCTTAGTTTAATGGGGAAAAATCTCAAGAACATAAAGTGTCATTTTCTTTTCACCTAACACCTTTTTAGTTTTATACCCATATAAAGTTTATCAAAAGCCTGAGCCAGTGATATAGCAAACTAGTTAAAGTTAAAAGCAGAGACACACACGGTAAACTCTCAGGGATTAGTAATCTAACCCTTGGCAGTTTAAACCACATGACTTCAAAGTGAAAAATATGGCGTTATTTTAATTTATGTATTGATAAGCAGCTCTCAGTCAGAGTAAGTGCAAAAATATTATTGCGAATTTAGCAGTTATTCCCCCCCATTTTCAAGACTATTCCTCTGTGTTTAAAATGTTTAGTTTACAGGTATTAAATGGTGGCAAGAAGGAACACAATTGTGATGTATGTGAAAAAATAAGGGTATAAAGTGTGAAACTGACATGAATACATTTTTTTATTTTTCGGAGATTCATTGTTGAAAATAAAAAAACCAGAACATCCAGTTGAAGTTGGCTACAAAAGGACCAAAACTGCAAAAGTAGGAGTTAAAATGCCAGTGCTCTAATTTAATCTAATTGGCCAATTTGTTGTTGAATGAAATAGATCTTCCTTATGAGAAACTTCTAAAAGATCGCCATTTCCACAGCTTACATGTTGCACTTTTCAGATGCTTGATGTAGTATAGTGAAACTCTCCTTTTATGCTACAAACTTTATTCAGATTAAAGGTGCTTCACTTTGAGGGTACTTTTCTTTTCCAGCTGACATCTTTTTTTTTTTTTAGTTTAAATGTCAAAAATGTATGGAAACTTTATAAATTTGTAAACAGTGTTCAATCTATCTGCAGCATCATGTCTCTATTGTTATTATTTTTTTTTTTTTTCAAAGTATTTCTACTCATAATAGAGGAACAGGGCAACCATATGCAAGGAGGACCTGTGGCACTCATGCAATATCTGTGGTTTTATTTTGTTTTATATCGTGCGTTCTGAAGGGACTGGGAGGCGTGCAGGCATAAGGGAAACTTCACTTTCATCCCACTCAAGCAATACACATCTTCCATATTCTTTGGCTAGCTGCTAGTCAATCAACGTCAGGTTATAAAGCAAACAGGAAAACCAGCATTTGTACATGATGCAACTCTCACCAAACAGACGAGAAGATAGTGATGCAGTGCCTGTTTGGAGCTGTGTCCGTTGTACATAACGGTAGAATGTGATAGACTTACTTTGCGTCACCCAGAGGATAAGGTGGCGCTAACGCATCTGGAAATGTGCTTCTCCTTACATACCCTTATGGATTTTGTTTTTGCTTCGTGATGTATACATATTTGAATTATGCCAGCACACATGTCCACTTCAAACTTGTTTGGAATTTTTAAAATGATTGTTCTTTTCTGAGAATCGGAGCAAAGAGAGTCAGTGCTTCATAATGTGCAGTGAAAGGATGAAGTAATATATTTTCTTTCCTCTGCAGAGCTCATTTGTTTTTTTGTTTTTTTTTATGGAAGGTGGGTAACTGGGGTCTTGTGGCACTTTCTCTTCACTCTGCACACATTTCACTCTGAGGAACTATGTTGGATTTGTACGTAATGAACAACAACAACACCACCAACAAAACAGTATGTAAGCAGTCTCCAGTAGTGATCGTAGTTACACTGCAAGTGTGTTCAAGGTCTATGTATGTATCTGAATGTATGTTTTAGAGGATTTTTTGGAAACCTGTATTTTTTTTTTTTATTTGATCTTTTTAATTTACAGTTTAGGAGCCACAGGTGTCCATTGTGAACTGTATAGCGAAGGCCTTGATATCCCTTCTTTTTATTGATTTTTAGTAATGCGAAGCATTTAGGCAATGCCTTCAAGCTGGTTACATTTGATGCAGGGGCTGAAATTGCCACAAGATTAAAATCAGTGTAAATAAAGGCTCAACTTTTTGTGATTGTTACTGTTATATCCAGCCTATACTGCTAGCAGCTGTTTTTACTGCAGTCAATTACTGGAAGTGGATATATTTCCTATGCAAAACTGTTTAAACAATAAAATGAGCTATGCTACAAAAATGACTTCATAATTATGATTCTTTCTTGTGTTTTTTTCCCTAAAATTTTACATAAAAACTGGGTTATTTCTGATGCTATATTTTTGAACTGGATGCAGGCTGAAGGAGTGTTATTAATGCCTTTTTTTTTAGATTTTCTATGCAGATGATACTTTAACCTATTCCCAAAATAGCATTCAGTGTTTTCTTTAAATTGTACCACAAAAAATTTGTTTTTAAGTTTGCAAGAAAATGTTTTTTTTCCACTTCAGTAATAGGTACTCTATGCAGAAGCAACAATTGGAATG